ATGGAATACTACATGGCAATGAGAAAGAATGAAATCTGGCCATGTGTAGCAACGTGGATGGACCTTGAGGGTGTTATGCTGAGTGAAATAAGTCAGGCAGAGAAGGACAGCTACCATATGTTTGCACATTTAGGTGGATTAGGAGGGACTTAATGGAGGACCATGGGGGAGAAGAAGGGGAGAAATGGTGGGGGAAAGGGAGAGAGGCAAACCATGAGAGACTCTTGAATGCTGAGAACAAACTGAGGACTCATGGGTGTGGGGGGGGGAGGGGAGAGATGGGCATGCAGGAGGGCACTCGTGGGGATGAGCACCGGGTGTTAAATGGAAACCAACTTGACAATAAACTATTTTTTTTTTTTAAAAAGGTAAGTGTTTGCCCCATTAGTGTTTAACTCATGGAGATCAAATATTTGGGGTGAAGGATGTGCTGTCCATCCTCACTTGCTGTGCATAGAGAGAAAAACAGGCAGGTATGTGCTTTTAATGTTGCCTCAGAAAAGGAATTAACATTTTTAAGGAATAAAACTCTCAGAAAGTTCCAGATGAAAAATTTCCTACCATGATTCCAGCCATCTTCTAGCCCTCCTACCCCACATGAGGCTGCGCCAAACAGATGACCCGTTCAGGGGCAGATGCATTTAGGAAAGGAAAACACTTTACTTCCAAAGCATGCGGGGAGTCAGACATTAAAAAGACTGGCTTGTCAGACATAAAAACCTAACAAATACTCAAAGGATAAAATTGCAAATCAGCAAGGATATAAGGTTGTATTATTCTGTTTATGGTGGAAAACAACATTCTTACATGATTATCATATTTTCAAAAGTCATGATACATCTTTAGACATCAGCATAGCAAAAATAAACAAGAAATGCATTCTTTTGGGCATCCATAACCCAGTCAGGATCATCTGTTTTCATTTAACTCAGGTTGCAGGGTGGTCCCCCCTTTCTACTGTGGCATTGTGAACTGCTTAATCATTGGAAGAAAGGCAAATTGTCAGTTTTATTTTTCTGCAGGAGATGTGATATGGTGTGTGTGTGTGTGTGTGTGTGTGTGTGTGTGTGTGTTTGTTGAAGGGGTGGGATAAATACCCCACTGAACTTCATGCTACCCTTCATTCTTTATGCTACTTCAATGAGAGTCAGTAGCTGTCATTGGCCAAACTGAACCAGAAACCACAGGGGAGGGTGACTGGCTAATGCAGTCCTTCATCACTAGCCTCCCATGGGGCAGAGCAGGGTGGAGAGTGGATTTAGGGAGCAGATCCAGAACAGCCAGGAACACTTTCCTTTTGCAAACTCACTAAGAGGAAGAGTAGTCTCTGAAAGTGATGGAAATGGAAAAGGGGGAAAGTGGCAAAAAGATGGAAAAGGGTCTAGAGAGGTAGGAAGGGAGTCCGGGCAGAACAGCATTACAAAGGCTACAGGTGGGGAATTTCAAGGAGAATGGAGTAGCCGATGGCTTTGAATGCGATGCAGATCAAGTCGTAAGTAGCTGTTGGACTCAACGATGTGGACGTCATTGGTGACCTTCATTAGAGCGGTTTCAGGAGTAAGATGGAAACTGGCTTGCCCAGGCTGAAGAGTAGGAAATAGTCATAATGGGAAGGAGCTAGGGAGCCATTAGAGGGTCATGTCAGATGGAGGGATGTGTTATAGGTCCTATGTTATAGTTTCAGCACTAGCGAGACGGAGGATCAATTGCCTCCAAGTGGCTTCTGTTATTTTTTGCTGTGAAGCTGGAGGCTGGGTCATCCACTGCTAGTGAGGAAGGAGGTAGCAGAAGACAGACTTGAAGAGACCAGAGAAATTTGCACTAGTCTTGGAGGGGATCAGAAAGAGGAGCTCACTAGGGGACTGGGGTCAGTGCTGGGGTTGATAATGCCCCTTTGTTGGGGCCCCGCTCAGTAGGATTTTGCAATCTTGAGTCCCGTTCAGCCTGGAATAGGTATGTTGGCTATTATAGAAGGTAATGGAGTTGACAAAAGGTCAAGGAGCCACAGATGGTGGTAATATTGGCAAAAGACTAATGGAAGATATGAACCATAGGTCTTGGTTGGGTAAGGAAGGGAGCAAAGCCCAAAGGAGGCTTATTTGGGGGAAATGGAGGCATCAAGGTGGTCTTGATGAGGTAGAAGAAGAGAAGTATTCCTGATTATTGCTCACACTCATGGAGAGTTCACCAGGGCCCAGACACATTTACTTCTGGCAACATTCCTAAGAGTTATGTCCTATTGTCATCTTTATAGATAGAGAAATTGAAGCAGAAAACATATCAAGTTGCTCTAGGTCATACTCTTGGTCAATGGCAGGTCAGGGATTAGAACCTAGATGGTCTAACCCCAGAGGCTGTGCTCTTGAGAACCAGGCAAGGGATGAGGGCATAGAGGAATTTGTGGTCTGAGTATGGTATTCTGTGATTTAAGAGTTCAGCTCTGACTTGAACGGATGCTTACACACCTATGTTCATGGCAGCATTGTTCACAATAGACAAAAGGTGGAAACAATCCAAGTGTCTGTGAAAAGATGAACGGATGAACAAAATGTGGTATTTACACACAATGGAATACTGTTCAGCTATAAAAAATTAAGGATATCTGACATATGCGACCACATGGATGGCCCTTGAAAGCATTATGCTGAGTAAAATAATCCTGATACAGAAGGACAAATACCGTGTGATTCTGCTTATATGAGGTGCCTAGGATAGACAAACTTATAGAGACAGAAATCAGGATAGAGGTAACTGGGATTTGGGAGGATGGCATGTGGGAAGTTATTGTTTAGCGGGTACGGAGTTTTTGTTGGGGATGATAAAAAAAGTTTTGGTTATGGATAGAGGTGATGGTTACACAACATGGTGGATGTATTTAATGCCCCTGAATCATACATTTACATATGGCTGAACTTAGAAATATTATACATGTATATTTTACCACAACTAAAAAAAAAGATTTCTGTGGTGAACTACTTCTGGGTGATTACAACAAAAAGTCTGATTTAGAGGCGAGTTGCTGAGTGTAGACAGGAGGTAGAGATGGTTGGGGTTGAGATCAAGAAAGGGAGAGGCCAAGGGTTGAATGGGTCACCCGGTGGGAGCTCTGATCTTGCTATTTCTCTCTCCTCAGGGGGGCAGCACCGCGTCACCCGCAGGTTCAGTGCACTGAGTACATGGAGGCTACAAATCAGACTGGGATGATTCGCTTCCACTTCCGCCCCTTCTCCAAACTCCCCGAGGTGCAGATGCTGATCTTTGTGGCCTTCCTCATCATGTACCTGGTCAGCATCGGCGGCAACGGCTCCATTTCTCTCATCATCTGGATCAACCATTCCCTGCACACCCCCATGTACTTCTTCTTGGCCAGCTTGGCGGCTCTGGAGATCTGCTACTCCTCCACCATTGCCCCTCTGACTCTGGCCAGCGTCCTGTCCGCGGAGAGAGCCCTCATCTCCCTGTCTGGCTGTGGTGCCCAGATGTTCTTCTTCATCTTCCTGGGCAGCGCTGACTGCATTCTACTAGCTGTCATGGCCTATGACAGGTTTGTGGCCATCTGTCACCCTTTGCGTTACACCCTCATGATGAGCTGGCCGTTGTGCGTCCAGCTGGCCTTGGGGTCTCTGGTGCTGGGGTTCATCTTGGCCATGCAGCTGACTGTGCTCATCTTCCAACTCCCCTTCTGCCTCAGCAAGGAAATCAGCCTGTTCTATTGCGATGTCCTCCCTGTACTGAGACTGGCCTGTGCAGATACCTGGGTCCACGAGGCCATTCTGTTTGTGGTCAGCCTCACCGTCCTCACCATCCCCTTCCTGCTTATCGCCCTCTCCTACGTCTTCATCGTGGCCGCCATCTTGAAGATCCGCTCCGCAGAGGGGAGGCGCAGGGCCTTCTCCACCTGCTCCTCCCACCTGACTGTGGTCCTGCTCCAGTACGGGTGTGGAAGCCTCGTCTACTTGTGCCCCAGCTCCAAGTACTCTCCAGAGAGGGGCCAGGTGGTGTCTGTGGTTTACACATTCATCACCCCGGTGCTGAACCCCTTGATCTACAGCATGAGAAACAGAGAGCTTAAGGATGCTTTGAAGAAAACAATGATGAGGCTCCTGTTGTCCTAAACCCAGTGAACGCTCCAGACAACATTGCTGGGAAGGAACCAATGAGTATGTCTTCTGAAAGACGAGGAGATGGGGGCTAAGAGGTCGTTGGTTTTATACAGTTACTTCTTCCTGGTTATATTATTTTTGAAAAGTACTTTTTCTTTTCTCAGCCTTGGATCCTTCATCTCTAAAATGGGGATTAAAATGCCCACCAGACTTAAATTCTGGGGTCGTTTTGGATGTAATGAGATTCATTAAGTGAAAATACATGGTGACTTTTAAAGGGAGATACAGGTGCCTGGGTGGCTCAGTTGGTTAAGCGTCTGACTTCCACTCAGGTCATGTTCAGGTCATGATCTCATGGTTTTTGGGTTCGAGCCCCGCATCAGGCTCTGTGCTGACAGCTCAGAGCCTGGAGTCTGCTTCGGATTCTGTGTCTTCTCTCTCTACTTCTTCCCTGCTCATGCTCTGTCTCTCTCTGGCTGTCAAAAATAAATAAATGTTAAAAAAACTGTTTTTTAAAAGATAAAGGGAAATACAGCAGGAATGTTGTTATTACTTATCCTCACCATTACACATAAAGTCTGTGTCTGGTTCCCAAGTTCTTGGCGGGGGTAAGAGCCAAGAAAAGGATGCACATCAAACCGGGACCATCAGAACCACGCTCTCCTGATTCCAGCAGTGCAAATGCTGAGTTGATGCCTTGTTGAATTCTCTTTCATCCTCAATTCTCTTCCAGGGAAAGGCGACGGGGAAAGCCCTGGAGTTTAAAGGTTGTGTTTCTTATTTCTGACCTTTATACCCAGAGCGGATCTGTCTCCATCTCAATCTCTGACTCTGCATTAGTTCTTCGTCTGCGTCTAACTCACTCTCCTCGTGCCCATAGGGTCTCCTCCCGCTGTTTTCTTTCAGACACACACACACACACACACACACACACACTCACACATTCACCCATCTCACATTTCTATCCTTCGCTAGTTTCTATGTACCCCCCCCCCCCCCGCCCCACGCCAGCCTGCACACCACCCATGAGGGTGGAGACCTCATGAACAGGATTAGACTTTTATAAAAGAGAGAGACCCCACAGAGGTCCCTGGCCCCGTCCGCCATGTGAGGATACAAGAAATCTGACTTGGAAGAGGTTCCTCAGCCACCATTGACCTCAGACTTCCAGCCTGCAGAATTCTGAGAAATAAATTTCTGTTGTTTATAAAGCCCCCCAGTCTGTGTACTTTGTTATGGCAGCCTGGCAGCCTGCATGGAGGGAGACACGGACAAAGACACTAAGTATACACAATATGCCCAAATGAGCAAGCAGGGGAGGGGCACAGAGAGAAAGAGAGAGATAGAGAGAGAGAGAGGGAGAGAGAGAATCTTAAGCAGTTCCATGCTCAGTGCAGAGCTCAACTTGGGGCTCCATCCCACAACCCTGGGATCATAACCTGAGCCGAAGTCAAGAGTTGGGTTCTAACCGACTGAGCCACCCAGGAGCCCCAGAAAGATTACTTTTTAAATTGAGCCTCTCTGAGTAGGAGAGGGGTAATGGTCCAGATCTGGATTCAGGCAGAGCAAAGCTAGTTCTGTGAAGACAAACGCTGGCTGGACACAATGAGGGAAAGGGACGCTAACGTGGCTGTGAGCAGGAGAGCCATTGTTTCAGAAAGATCCCTGTCTCAGGGTAATGGTGTCAGAGCACAGACGGTGTATTGTCTTTTTGTGGGGTGAGAGAAGCTCATTTATTCCTCTACTTGTTGAAGAGAGAGTGATTTATTGGGGCGCTGGGCTGGCTCAGATGGGGGAGCATGCAACTCTTGATCTTAGGTTGTGAGTTCAAGCCCCCTGTTGGGTGTGGAGCTTACTTAAAAAAATAGTGAATGATTTCTTCATTCAACAACATTTAAGAAGACAGTAAACAACTATTTATTGAACTCTATGTACCTACCAGTGGTAGGTGGAGCAAGAAATGGAAAGGTAAGAGGCAGCTCCTGCCTTGAAAGAAGTTACGTCTAGTGACATTTAAGAACACCAGTCGGGGCACCTGGGTGGCTCAGTCAGTTAAGTGTCCAATTCTTGATTTTGGCTCAGGTCGTGATCACACAGTTTGTGGGATCAAGTCTCGCACTGGGCTCCAAACTGACAGTGTGGAGCCTGCTTGGGATTCTCTCTCTGCCCTTCCCCTCCCAAAATAAATAAATAAACTTAAAAAAAAAAAAAAGAACACAAAACATGATAGCCCAAGGGCAAGTGATACCACGCTATGAGCTTCTGGAGGAGGGACAGCGAAGGGAATCAAGGCAAGTTTGACGAGGCAGGTGGCATTTGACCTTCACCGTGCAGGTGTCCAGACCTGTGTGCAAAGAGGAACAGGGCAGGCATTTCTGAAGGGGGAAATTGTTAGAAGGACAAAGAATGAGCTCTTTGTGTCTCTGTTTCCTTATCTGGAAAGGCATAAAAAGTCTGCTACATTTTCTTTCATTTTTTTTTCTGAAAATTTATCACAGGCTTAAAAGGCAGAGGCCATGAGCCGAAATTCACATTACAAGGAGCTTCCTTCTTCAAAGGAAGACGGGAACCCAAAAGGACCTTGTTTGGTTCACTTACAGACACTCGCCTTGTTGAATAATAGGTGTTTGGGGGAAATGAACTTTATATGGTCAAACAAGTGTGAAGATGACTGTGCCTATCAAACCTCAACTCCTATCAAACCTCAACCCATTACTGCAGGTTCACTCAGTGCCTATAATGTGCAAATGTGCAGTCATGCTTCTAAGGTGAGGGATGTGTTTCTTTATGCTTTCCAAGCTCTGTCACCACTAAATTCCTCTATTCCTTGGAGTATCTTATGAAACCTTTTATCCTGTTGAACCTACGTTGGAAGAAGCCGCCTTAGCTGATGCTGACTCAGTACGAAGGGTGTTTCACTAGTGATGGTAATATTCCAGGCACTTTTCAATTCCCCATCATGCTTCTTGAGAAAACAAGGATAGTTATCCCATGTTAATGGGCTTCTTTTCAAGTGATTGCAGAAGGAAATTAATGATTGCCGTATATTAGCCCATGTATCGTCATAAACCCCAGGTGACTGGTGTTATTTTTATCTCTGCTTACAGATAAGGAAACTGACACACAGGGAATTTAAGTAACGTGTTCAAGGTCACACAGGCAGGACGGGCAGAACGTGGGGCTTGAAATGGATGGTGTGGTTTCAAAGTCCACGCACAAAACTGCTCTCCCAGCATGCCATCTCTGTACTATGGTAGCTTGGGGAGATCCCTTCATTTTTCTGTACTTAATCTCGTAATAAATGAGAGGAATAATATCTACTCTACTTCCCTGAATTATTGTGAGATCTTGGGGGGTGGTGGAGAAAAGCTATAAAAGTACAATGAAAGATTCAGCGTGGTTAGTCTAATATCCAAATGGAGGAGCACTGGGCTGACTCAGTCGGTAGAGCATGGAACTCTTGATCTCAGGGTTGTGAATTCAAGCTCCATATTGGACACAGAGCCAGTTTAAAAAAAAAAAAAATCAAATGGAGAGATATACTAGATGGCTCATTTTTTAAGTTACATTTTACTTTTTAATTTTATTTATATTTTTAAAAGATTATTTATTTTTGAGAGACAGCACGAGCAGGGGAGGGGCAGAGAGACAGGGAGACACAGAATCTGAAGCAGAGCCCAGGCTCCCGGCTCGACGTGGGGCTAGACGCGGGGCTCGAACTCACAAGCCATGAGATCATGATCTGAGCCCAAGTCCGCTACTTAACCGACTGAGCCACCCAGGTGCCTCAGTTATAAGCATTTTAAAGCCATAATTTTTCAGTTGCCTTACACCTATGCTCCACTGTGTTTATTCTATTGTTCTTTTTAAAAAAATGTTTATTTTGAGAGAGAGAAAGGGAGAGAGCATGAGGGGAGTAGGGGCAAAGAGAGAGGGAGAGAGAGAGAACCCTAAGCAGGCTCCGTGCTGTCAGCATAAAGCCCGATTCGGGACTCGAACTCATGAGCTGTGATCAAGAGTTGGATGCTTAACCGACTGAGCCACCCAGGAGCCCCAAAACAGGCCTTCTGCCGCTCAAAGTTAACAGCAGGCCTCTGTGGGGGAGGCTTCTTTCACCAAGCTCTTCTTAGTAGCACTTTGTACTTTAGGGTTCTAGGGATCGAAGAGTTTGTATAAACAGAAAAACAAATGTATAAGGTTCAGATTGTTTACATTGTCAAATCAGAGGCATAGGTAAATGGCACATGGAGGTTCGCACTGTGAAAACGTGTGAACAATGTGATGGAAGACATCTTTGTGAATAAAACACAAAGGTTTTGGGGCGCCTGGGTGGCTTAGTCGGTTAAACGTCCGACTTTCGCTTAGGTCATGATCTCGCGGTTCGTGGGTTTGGGCCCCGCGTCGGGCTCTGTGCTGACTGCCGGCTCAGAGCCTGGAGCCTATTTCAGAGTCTGTGTCTCCCTCTCTCTCTGGCCCTCCCCTGTTCATGCTGTCTCTCTCTCTCTCTCTCTCTCGCCTAGAAATAAATAAAAATATAAAAAATAAAATAAAATAAAATAAAACACAAAGGTTTTATTTTATTTATTTATTCTTTTTTTTACAGTTATTTATTTTTGAGAGACAGAGACAAGACAGAGCACAAGCAAGGGAGGGGCAGAGAGAGAGGGAGACACAGAATCTGAAACAGGCTCCAGGCTCCGAGCTGTCAGCAGAGCCCGATGTGGGGCTCGAACTCACAGACCGTGAGATCATGGCCTGAGCATTTGCATTCCACCTACCTCATAGTAGCCCTGGAACGTGAATAATATTGGTTTGTTGCTTTTAAGCTCCTGGTCTAGCCAGGGACACAGATGGGTAAGCAGCTAGGTACAAGGCAACACAGGGTGTGCTTTATCTATTTAAGTTTATTTGAGAGAGTGTGCATGTGTGAATGGGGGAAGGGCAGAGAGAAAGAGAGGGAGGGAGGGAGAGAGAGAATTCCAAGCAGGCTCTGCACTGCCAAGGGGTCACCTAAGTGAACCAGAAGTTTAGGTCTTGAAGGGGGAGGATGGATCCGTTAGACATGAAAAGGATTAAGGGCCTATTAGGCAGAGGTAGGTGGGAAATCCTTGGCGCATCTGGCTCAGAGAAGAGGTGGGCGTTTGGTGAGGCTGATGAGGGGCTGTGTGTGTCATGGAGCTCAGGGTCCAGGGCTCAGGCCTCATGAGAGTTTTAAAGAAAGCTTGACATCTTTAACCTTCAAGGGGAAGCCATGACAAAAGAAGTCTGCTGATGTTTTTTCTCTTGGCTTCCTGGATTCCAGCTGGAGTTAAGACGGCTTTCTGCACTATTTTCAATATTTTAAAAAGTTTAAGGGAAATGATACAGTCATTTCTGTTATGGCCCCCTAGGCTAACCGAAAGGTTATTATATTTTTTCTTCTTGGAAATAACTCATAGGAAGTGTCTTTTTGTTTTCCCAGTTTTATTGAGATATAATTCACATGTGACATGGTATTAAAGGTTACAGTGTGACTTGATATATATATAAACAGACAGCAAAATGATCGCCACGGTAAGTTATCATCTATCACCTCACATAGTTACAAATTTTTTTTTCCGTAATGAGATCTTTTAAGCCTACCATCTTAGCGACTTTCAAACGCACAGTACATTCTTGATAACTCTAGTCACCATGTTCTACGTTATGTCCCCCAGGACTTATAACTGGAAGTTTGTATCTTTTGACCTCCTCCACCATTTTGCCTCCCTTCACCCCTCTGGCAACTACCACTGTTCTCTGAATCTATGAGTCTGAAGAATCCAAATTTCTGATTCCCCAGTAAATATATTTTGTTAAGGATATGGAATTTTTTCAAACAGGAAATCCACGAAAGCAAACAAAGCCTAGAGGATACTCTTGATCTTGAAGAGGTTGGGAACCACGCGTTTTGATCAGCCCCCTTATTTCACAGATGAGAAAATAGGTCGTGTGGTGTTAAGTGTTAAGTTCGGTAGCAGCAATTCTGCCTACAACTCAGGCCCCCGTCTATGTGTCAGGAATCATTCTCCAGCCCCATAGCAACTCTCTCTTCATGGAAAGCCCATCTAGTGAAGGACACATTACATTTCTCAAATGTCTGAACAAAGGCAAGGAGCAATACACAGTGGTGGAAATTATAGGGAGGGAAATTTTTGTTTTGTAGAGCAAGAAAATAAAAAAAAATTTTTAAATCAGTTGAAACTGTTTAAAGGGAAGATACTTCCTTGAGAGTGTCTAGAAAAATTGTGAAACAATCAAAATGGAAAAAAAAAAAAGATTACTGAGTGTCAGATGGTGTGGTAGGCCATTCTGGATTATCTGCATTTATTTATTTATGTTTATTTATTTTGAGAGACAGAGCACAAGTGGGGGAGGGGCAGAGAGAAGGGGAGAGGATCTGAAGTGGGCTCTGTGCTGACAGCAGAGAGCCCAATGTGGTGGGGCAAGAATACGGAAGCTTCATGAATTTGCGTGTCATCCTTGCTCAGGGGCCATGCTAATCTCTGTATCTTTCCAATCTTAGTACATGTGCTGCTCAAATGAGCACTGGGTTATCTGTTTTTATCAATGGTCTGGCCTCCTATGGTCTTGTGACTATTTTACAATTCTGTAAATTGAAGAAAACTGCCAGTAAGGCAAATAGTTCTTGTCCACAGAGATAGAAATAAAATCTTTCTGATCGAGGTGCCATTGACCTCCTCCCACCCCCAGAAGCCGGTTTTGCATTTCACATGTTCATTTCAGCATTCCTGATTGCCTGTCTTTTAAGTGTCTGTTTTTGGGGTCCTTCTGTGGACAGGTTACTGAAACTTTACTCGTTCCCTCATTAATTAATGAGTCAAATAAAATCTTTGATGTGTGTTCACTCTGTAGTTGAGTCATGATTTTAAAAAAAATTTTTTTTAACGTTTTATTTGTTTCTAGGAGAGAGAGAGAGAGAGAGAGAGAGAGAGCGTGAGCAGGGGAGGGTCAGAGAGAGAGGGAGTCACAGACTCTGAAACAGGCTCCAGGCTCAGAGCTGGCAGTCAGCACAGAGCCCGACGTGGGGCTCGAACCCACGAACCGCGAGATCATGACCTAAGCGAAAGTCGGACGCTTAACCGACTAAGCCACTCAGGCGCCCCATGATTTTTTTCTTTTTGAAAACAATTCTCTTTAACTAGGTCTTGGATGTTCCATCCCTGGATGTGTTCAGGCAGGAGGTGTATGGCCATCCTTGATTCTTATTCCAGACTCCTGTGGTTCTTTCCAGACTTTAATGTAAAGAGTTGTTCACATCTCTGTTTCCCTCAGGCGACTCTTTTCCTGAGACGCGGGACCCAGCTAATCTGTGCGCCCTAATAAAAATTTGTTAAGGGAAGGGGAGATAAGGTGCGCGATTTACTCACCTTTTCCCACTTATGGCCACCAGGGGGCGCAGAAGCCATCCTTTACTAACGTAGGGAACCCACCTAGGGAACGCCCGGGGTGGAAGGAAGTGTAGCCCCAAGGGAGGATCAGGGATGGGAATCGGAGTTCATCCAGCCCGACCGCTTTGAGACCATATCTTTATGGGAGGCGATGAAGTCAGCCTGGAGCACGCACTGAGATCGCAGAAGAGGGCAAAGTTCTGTTAAAATTACGAAAATATTTACAGCCTTTTAGCCTGAATACATAAAGCACATTCTTGTCGTGACGTGAGAATTCAGTCCTCGAAAGGCCAGCCCCACTTACCGAGCGCCGCCCTCTGCTGGGTAGGTCACTGGCTCCCAAGGAGGAAGACGAACCGGGAAGAGGGAAGAAAGGGTGGGGAGAGGCGGCGCAAAGACCCCGCCCACCTTTCCGGCCGACCTATCCCACCCGGGAGTCTACACCGCGTAGGAACCGAGCCGGCTTCAGCTTTGCAAATAGATCTCCATACAGCCGTCTCCATCTTATCACCCCGGCTCTTTGCGGTGCGAACCAGCCCCCGCCGGAAACGGAGTCCCCTAGCGAAGCCGCGACTCCCGGAGTCGTACAGATGATTAGCGGCAGGTGCCGACTCCAACGCTGGACTGCTCCCGTTTCTCGGAGGGGTCGCGATGGCCACCAGCGTCAAATCCAAAGTCTTTCGCTCCCGCCCCGTCGCGCCCCCAGCGGCACCCCGCAGTCCCCGGGACTGCCAGCTCCGTCCGTCGGAGCGCCCTTCCGAGGGGGGCGGGCCTGACCCTCCCTCCCACCTGCTAGGCGCACAGCGCGTCGCCAGAGTCCTCCGTCCCCAGATCAGCGTGCGGCCGTGAGCGGCCGTCCGGCGGAGAGGAGGGGCTCTCCCAGGGGCCGCCCTTCTCCCCCGCCCCACCCCCTCCCCCCGCCCCAGCCCGCGCCGGGGCCGCCGGGGCGGAGGGCCCTTTAAGGAGGAGCGCGGGGCGCGGCGCAGGTGAGGGGCGGGCCCGCCTGGCGGATCTGCGCTGCGCGCCGGCGCCCGCCCGGGAGCCGGATTTGGAGCGCGCGGCGCCGGCGGGGCCGCAGGGGGCGGCGCGGCGGAGCCTCCCGTGGCCTTGGACGCTCCTCCTAGCCCGCGGCCGCCGCCCGCCTCCGCCTGCGCCTCCAGCTCCTTCGGCCCGGCCGGCCGGCCGCCACTTCCGGCCGCTCACCTGGGACGCGCTCACCTGGGACGCGCTCACCTGGGACGCGCTCACCTGCCTCCGGGCGCCTGGGCAGCAGGATGAAGGACCGGCTGGAGCAGCTGAAGGCCGTGAGTCCCGCCGCCCCCGGGGACTGTCGGGCCGGGGCAGCCGCTGCGCAGGAGAGGGCCTTTCCTTTGCTCCCCAAATCCGGGCTAGGGAGGGGCGGATCCCCGCGCCAGGCCTGCGCCCCTGGAGTTCCAGCCGCATCCGCGCCCCCTCCGCACCTCCTCGCCCCCTCTTCGGAGTCATGTGCCGGTGATTCATCCCTGGGCTGCGATTTCCTTGGATGCCTCCTTCCCTCCCCCCCCAAGCTGGACAGTGTCAGTCCAGAGGTGGGGGCTGCTTGAGCCCAGAGGGGTTCTCTGTGAGGTCAGGGGTCACCTCCACCGGCCTGCTGCCTGGCACTGTGCCCAGGATCAGCCGCCTCCTACCCACCCCTTGTCTCCCTTCGGGGTGGGGGTGGGGGCGCCGAGTCCGGCTGCCCCTCCCCCAGGACCTGCTCAGAGCTCCTGGGTGACCTCTTGAGCTGTGAGCTGGTCACGTGCCAGGATGGGCCCAGCACCTCACCATCCCGAGGTCTATAATTATTAATTTCTCCTTCATCCCCCGGGCAGCTGTGGTCAGGGGCAAAGGATCTGAATGAAGGTAGACTGCTTCCAGCCCAGCCGCACAAAAGCTGTAAAACCTCCAGCTACTTAGTCTTTTGAGACTGTGTTTCCTTATCTGTCAAATGGGGATGATCATCCCTTGGAGATTTGTTATGAGATCAAATGACATAATGGGAATTGATACAGAGAATGGTTAAAGCGTGGGCTTTTTGAGTCATTGACTCACTCAACAAATAATTACTGAGTACATTCTATGGGGCAGGGCCAGTGCTAAGCCCTGGGGATTGCTGAGACACAGACTCTGTCTCTATGGAATTTTAAAATGTAGCCTTTGATAGATACAAAGCAGTCTCTCTTCCTGGGAGCTTGTGAGAAGCATGAAGCTTCGCCCCAGCCTGCACCTACAAAATCAGTCTGATTGCTCTCCAGTCTCCCCAGGGGATGCAGGAACGCATGGATGTTTGGGAAGCATGGGGATGGATAGAACGCGGGTTGCCTCTTGGCTGCACCGCTTACTGGCTGTCCCTCCACCTCTGAGCCCAAGTTTTTTTTTTTTTTTTTTTTTAATTCCTACGAGAGAGAGAGAGAGAGAGAGAGAGAGAGAGAGAGAGAGACAGTGTGAGCAGGGGAGGGTCAGAGAGAGAGGGAGTCACAGACTCTGAAACAGGCTCCAGGCTCTGAGCTGGCAGCACAGAGCCCTACGCGGGGCTCGAACCCACGAACCGCGAGATCATGACCTAAGCAAAAGTCGGACGCTTAACCGACTAAGCCACCCAGGCGCCCCTCTGAGCCTAAGTTTTGACGTCTGTGAAGTGCGTGGTTGTGAGGACTAAAAGCAAGGGAGCACACGGAGTTCTTTGCAAGATGCAGGGCACGTGTAGGATTAATAGCTGGTTAAATACTCTGCCGATGGCTGTAAAAGCTCTTTGGGCAGAAATACAGGTCTGGTACAGGCACTGCTGCTGAGATGCTGTGACAGTCGCTTTTCTTTCTCTTGCCTTATCCTGGGTAAGACCTTTGACCTGCTCTGGGTCATAACGCTCCAGAGGAGGTGACGGTGATGGGGAAGTTGAGAGAAGAAAGAGGGCAGCTGCAGATGTGGGGGGGGGGAGCCTCCCCGCCTCCTGCTTTCTCTATGTCATCAGAGCTTCATAACATCCCCTTTACGGACAGGGCAGATTTTTATTGCCCCTATTGTTTTTTTTTTTTTTTTTTTTTTATACAAGAGGCAAGTAGAGCTCAGCTTGGGTAGGAGGGGTGTTGCAGGTCCCAGAGCTGGTCATGGGCACAGCCCGATGGGGAACCCAGTCTCCTGATGCTGTCCACTGTACTCCTTCCCTGAGGCTTGCTGGTTGGGGAGGCAGAAAGGAAAGAGGAACGTGGTTTTGAAGATCTTTCTGTATCAGCCAGCACATCCAGCAATCACAAAACAGTGCGGAACTGAACAGCAGGCGCAGGCGACTCCCTTCCTTGTGTTAGGAAATCCATTTCCAGAGGAAGATAGCCCACAGCCCCTTTCGAACCCACTGTCAACAAATAGCAAAGAGCCTTGAGTTCAGAGCATCAGTTCAGTTTGCCAGGAAAGCCAAGCAAGTCCCTTGGCTTCCTCAAGCCTCAGTATTGCCCTCCGGGCAGGGCTTTGCCTCTGGGGGAGGGGAAAGCCACTCTGGAGACTGGGCACTTGTGGGCTGCTGTTCTGAAATCACAGGTTTTGGAGCAGGGACATGGCTGGTGGTGCCCAGCAAAGGGGACCAGGCTACAGGTTCAGAGGTTCTGATGGTTGCCTTGTTTGCCACTTTGTACCCTTTACCTCTCTGCTTCTCCCTTCCCCTTTTGTAAAACAAGAAGTTTGGTTTATCTCAGAAGCCCCTTCTGGCAATACTGATGTTTTCCACATAGACCATTGTTAAAGTTTGTATGGGTTTTGGTTTCTAGTCAACCCTCCCCCCCCCCCCGCCCCCCCAGTCTCCCTCCAGGAGAGGGATGCCTTCACTGCAACAAGATAACCATCTCTGATTACTTTCATCAGTGAAAGACATTGGTTACCCTGTTCAAGAAGCCAGTTTCACACTGAGCAGCCTGTGTAATCTCCTCTGTGGCATCTTTCTAAAGCTTTGGGGGAGGTGAGGTGTGCAGGAGATTAGCCTTCCTCTGCTTGGATACCAGGAGTAGATGTGAAGTTGATGGGTAGAAATAAGGACTCTACACGAAAGCATTCTCAGTAGTCAGAGCTGCCCAGGGACGAACTGGGCTGGCCAGACAGGTCGGGAACCCTCAAGCCTGGGGCGAGGCAG